ACCTCCTTCAGGGACCCTCCCACGTCCCCAGCCTCCCCTGGGTGATTGTTCTGGTGAGTGGACAGCAGAGCTGACCAGGCCGGGCCCCTTTCTCTTGTGTGGCTGGTCTCCTGGGTCCAAGGCCCCGGCCTCCCCAGGACAGCACTGCAGCTAAGCCAGGAGCAGGTGCATCTTGGGTCACTTGCCAGTGCCCTGACCCCCAGCTCAGGATGGGGGTGCCCCAGCGGGCCAAGCACGCCCCCTCCCACCACCAAGAGGCCAGAGGACGGCCCCACAGTGGCAGGGAGAGAGCAGCACCTCCCGGGAGTGAAATCACCTTGACATTTTGGGGACTGTGCTGTGGTTGAAGCTGCAGTCAGGCATGACAGGTGGACGAGCCTGCTCTGGGGACACTGTGGGGACAGGCAGAAGGGCCAGCCTACGAGGGCCGACAGAGCCTCGTCTCCTGGTCAGCCCAGGGGGCAGGGCTGCCTGAGAGGCGGAGGGCCCTCCCCACCAGGTCACCAGGATCATGCGCCTCTTTCCAAACCTTGGTGGCCCCACACTTTGGTCTCGGAGATTGTGTCTTCCTGTCCCAGGAAAACAGGGACAAGCCGGGGCCCTTGAAAAGCACCATCCTGGGGCCACACCTACAGCTAAGGTCATGAGGAGGATGTGTTCCCAGAGACTCATGGCGGAGAAGCCAAGCAGGAGCAACGGTGGGTGCGACGCCCAGGAGTGAGAAACAAAGGCCCTCAGAAGTGACAGATGCTTCCAGCACCGCCCCTGACGCGCCTGTCAATCACCCCAGTCAGCCGCGGTTAAAAATAGCCCCTCCTGCTGCCTCCCCCTCCTCCCGTCCCCTTCCCCTGGTCGGGCGTCCTGAGCCAGCCCAGCAGCCCCGGCTCCCGACACTTACTATGATGAGCAGGATAAAGTAGATGAAGTTGTAGAAGGAGTGGGCGTCCATCACGTAGTACATGATCTCCACCCAGCCTTCCAGGGTGATCACCTGCAGCCGGCACCGAGGGCGAGAGGGGAGAGCCTGATGTGCACCAGGACGCGCACACGCCGCCCTCGTAGGGCAGCCTCTCCGTCCACGCGATACAGACCAGGAAACGGTGTTCAGAGAGGTGAGGACACGTGCCCAACGTCAAACAGCCAGGCAGTACTAGAGCCGGGACTTCAATCCTGGCCCCGCTCACTCTAGACCTCACCCGTTTTCCAGCTGCCGTGCCAGGGCAGGCGGGCTGGGAAGCAGGAGCCCAGGGGTCCCAGCTCTACCTCGTCACTGGGCTATGGCCCACCCGGGGCCTCAGCGGCTTCTTCGTACCCGGGGATGGCAGAGGCCTCCGGGCACGGCTCGGGTGAGGCTCACTGGAGCCCAAGCATGTGCACTGGACGAGGCTCGGGGGACTGTCTCCCCTGCCCCACCCAACGTCTTCCCAGAGAGAGAGAGGGGCAGCTCTGGGGTGTGACTGTCCCTGGCAAAGCCCAGACACGGCCCCAAAACACGGCCCGCAGCTCTGAATTCCCAGCCCCATGCTCCTGCTCCTCATGGCTACAGGCTTCCCTGCTCTGCCCGCGCCGGCCACATCCTGCCTGAGGACAGCGGGAGCTGAGTCTTGACTGAGCACCCACCGAGCATGGGCTCCTCCTGCCCGTCACCTGGCCTATTCCCGGTACCC